TCAGAGCTGGCTTACTTTCTCTGCCTCTGTCTCTGTCTCTGTCTCTGTTTCTCTCCAGATATGCAAAGAAAATCATGTGAGTATGTGGCAAGAAGGTAGCCATCTGGAAGTCAGGAAAAAAGATTTGTCTTAATTACTTTTCGCCTTGCTGAGACAAAATACTCAATACCTAAAGTTAAGGGAGAAAAAGTTTATTTTGGCTCATAGTTGGTAGAGGTTTCTGTCCATAGTCAGCTGGCTCCCAGGAAGCGTGGCCTGGCAGAGGGGCATCACAGAGGAGAAATAGTCCATGGCAAACAGGCAGACAAGGACACATTAGCCCTCTTTCTCTCCCTTATATTTTATACAGGCTACATGCCCTAGGGTGGATGCAGCACTCACATCTTTAATTCTAGCTAGAACTATGCCACTCCATTCAGGAGACTGATTTAGTAATCACACACCCTTGACCCCAGCACCACACACTCTAAATACAGCCACCTCAGGAAAAGTCCATCTATGAGTCCATAAGGATTTGGGGGACATCCAGACACAAATACAATAAGCCCTTACAAGAATCTGTCCATGCTTGCACCCTCATCTCTGTCTTCCAGTCTTCAGAACTGCAAATAAATAATTTTCTGTTGTTTAAGGAATTCAATCATGAGCTAGGTAATCCTACTGGGGAGAATTGAATTTGAGGCCAGCTTGGGCTACATGAAGGCCAGCCTGAAATACATAGTTAGACCCTATTTAAAAAAAAAAAAAAAAAAAAAAAAAGGAGCTCAGCAATATTTTGGTATGACAGCACTATTCTTTTAGTAAATTATTTACAAAGATTTTATTGCTATTACAAACACCACCACCAGAGTTAGGAAATAAATGACAATTCGCAGAAGCCTGACTTAAAAATTCATGGCTTACCCATATAGTGAAAAATCTATGCAGTCACACTATAGAACAAGGCAATTTTAACACATAGCGTGTGACACAAAAATAAAAGAGTATTTTGAGGGGGGTTAATGGTAATGTGTCTTTTATTGCAAAAATGTTTTAAACATTTAAACACATACTACAGTTTCCAAAGTGTACTTTTAAGTAGATAAAGCAATTGTAGAACAATGTGCAGAATGTGTTAGCATTTGTGCGTAAAATGGAAGAGGTAGAAAAATACAGTATTTATTAACTGATATACATTGCATATCCCTGGAAAAATTCCTAATAAGCTAATAAGTAGCTGCTACTTGTGAAACAAAATGGGTGACTAGGGGACAAAAATAGGTGGGAGAGTTCTCACTATATACCTTTTCATAGTGCTCACTTCAGCAGCACATATACTAAAATATACCCTTTCATATATGATGGATTTGAGTCATGTGGAATATAGTACTAATTTAAAATACAATTTAAAATGAATTTTAGCCAGGCATGTTAGCACACATTTGCAATTTTAGCAATGGTAGGGGTGGGTTGTTGAAGCAGGAGAATAGCTCCAAGTTGTAGGCCAGTCTGTGATACATAGTGAGTTCAAGGTCATCACAAATTATACAGTGTGATCCTATCTCAAAAAAACAAAAGAAAATGAGTTTTAAAAGTGTAGAAGAAACAACCAGGCATGGTGGTGCATGCCTGTAATCCCAGCACTTGGAAGGCTGAGGCAGGAAGATTGCCATGAGTTCGTGGCCAGCCTGGGCTATGTAGTGAGTTCAAGGCCAGCCTGAACTACACAGTGAGACCTCAAATCAAAAAAAAAAAAATTTATAAGAAACAAAACACAAACATTGACTTAATTTGTTCTCTGCTCTAACTGTTTGCAACTCTGATATAAATTAATGTGTCAAACACTGGGTCAAATGCTTCACTTACCAAATCATCATGTTATTCTAGAGATGAGTAAATAGAAGCTAGTTAACAAAGCTGAGTTGAGGATAATAAATGAGGAGAAATCTGATATCGAGTTATAAAACTTAACAAAAACATTAGTATATATAAAAATTAGAAATAAAACCAAACATATTGACACATGTCCTTCACTCAACAAATGAACTCAACACTGCAAAGCTTATTCACTATCCACTTAGGAATTAGATGCTAATTTCACTAGATAACCATTTAGGTAAATCATCCCCATAAAATTTTCCTTTATCTACAATAACATGGTATTATAGAACTAGACCCTAGAGGTTAGTCTACAAAATGTGTACCAAGTATTTACATGAAAAAGCAATCAATTAAGTATGATGAAGATACAATGGCATTAGATGTCATGAAGAACCTCTCAGTTTGAAAGAGTAAAGACTTAGAGTATATGCAGGACACAGAGCAGCACAACTTTCCAAAAATACAGGAAAACTTTTATACTGAAAAGAGTATTTCTAAATCCAAGGATGAGGGAAGATTTTATAGAAGTGACATTTAAGTTGGGATTAATGATGGACGGAGTACTAAAATTACTGTTCAGGAAAAATCCTGAAAAGAAGTATACTATAAGGCAGTTTAATCATGGTAAGGATCAATTAAGTAGACTATATAATGATTTCTGAAGAAGAGTTGAAGTTGTAAGAAACACTTGTTGTGGAGACACAAAATTAGGTTTTAAAGGAAGATTGGCATTTGGATGGGAAGATAAAGAAGATACTGAAGGGGTTGTGGATTTAGCTCAGCGGCACAGCGCCTGCCTGGCAAGCACAAGGTCGTGAGTTTGATTCCCGGTACCGGAGAAAAACCAAAAAAAAAAAAAAAAAAAAAGAAGATACCTAAATAGAAAATTACATTTAAGACATTTCTTATGCCTGATACATATGTCAACATATATTTGCTAAGTGCATTATACATCCAAAGGCCATCTTCTCTTCACTTAACCAATTAAGTATGATCATAAAGTACAAGTTACTCAGGACAAAGGTAAATATATAAATGTATCAAATAATGGTAATATCCCTGCCAGAATGAGAGAGGATGAGTGGTTGATGACTCCTACTCCCAGACATAGACAATCTTAAAAAAATAATTGATAACTTGACTAGGCTTCATACCTTGATTTGTGGAACTCAGAGAGCTAAACCACTAAGAATCCCATGTTGGAAATGCACGTACTAGAACCATGAGGGTGGTATGGCGATCTAGTTCAACCCCCCTCCACTTTTCTTTCCAATGTATGCTGAAAGCATAAGCAAGTAGTGTCTGTAATTCCCTAGGGCTCTGAAGGTAGAGCCATTAATTTACTTAATTTTGAGAATGGACTGGATAGCCATATTAGCCATTTCTATTGAAGTTATATTTCTACTCTTCTGTTTTCTACCTATCTGCCCTCTAAACTACTCTGGAGACACTGTTCCCAGCCCATTCTCTGGGTCCTCAACAGTTATCAAGGATTAGCATCTCTCTGATAAAGGTTCTCCCAATACTCTGAAGACTGGGATGAGGTCATTTATGAGTCACTGATTTATGTTGTACAAAGGTTCTGTCAGTTATATCCTTCTGGTTAAGTTGTCCAAATAATTAGAGGAAAAGCAGGTGAGTAGCTTTTTTATTAGAGGTGATTAAGTACACTGGGAACAATGTTAAATTAGAAGCAAATAAAACCTATGCTGTAGCCTGTCAGCCTCTAGACAAGCTAATTTGATCCATTCAGTCTCCTTTCACTTCATCTGGAAGGAATTTTAAGGGCATCAAAGTCCTAATTCTATCAGTGTTTCAGAGAAAGAGTTCCAAACTGAGTGGGAAAAGGAAGTGAAACTAAGATTATGACAACAGCCTCTGTCAAATACATTATTGCATTTCAGGTACCCAAATATGTTTTAAGATACAATTATTAATTTGCATTCTGTAGATGGAGAAAGGAAATGCCCAGGGTAATTACTGATAGCAATATGGTTTCAAAGCAGATCTTAGGCCTGGTGTGGTGGCGCACGCCTGTAATCCCAGCACTCGGGAGGCTGAGGAACGAGGATCGTTGAGAGTTCGAGACCAGCCTGGGCTACAAAGTGAGCTCAAGGCCAGCCTGAACTGCATAGTGAGACCCTGTCTCAAAAAAGACAAAAAAAAGAAAAAGAAAAAAAAAAAAGAAAGAAAGAAAAAAAAGCAGATCAAACCATCACAGTTGCCACCAGCTTAAAATCCAAACTTGGAGAATATTCTCTTTGCTCAGTCATTATTACACTGGATGACAGGAAAGAGCTTAATAGTTGTTTGTCTTCAGGATGAATACAATACTAAATGAAATAAGACATTCCTCTTGCCACCTGTTTGGATGTGATTTATTTTCCCCCAAATTCTTAAGGTCCACAAAACACAGCTCCACCAAGAGGTAGCAAGTCCCCTAGCTCCAGCAATCACAGTAATTCTGCCCAATCTTCCACTTCCACAGAGAACTGGCTGCCTTGGCCAGGTCTGAAAGGGCCTGCTCAGGGCCTAGGATTGGGCTTCCTCCTCCAACCAAGCTAAGCTCCTCCTTAAAGAACTGGTAAACCCAAGGCAGCTCCTCCCCGAGGAGGCTCCTTTCAGGATCTCAGGATCCTAATTTCCAATAACCTAGGCTCCCACCTGTCCCCCCTCCCTCTTTCTAGAAGCATCTCTAAATACCAGCTACTGTTTAAAGATGTTATCTGGGGGTGGCTGGCCTTCTAAATCTTGTTCTCTGGCTGCGACTTTGACTGTGTGGGGTTAAGTCAGAGACAAACCTCACTGCGTAAGGAAGACTGAGAGCGCTGAGCCAGGGCGGACTAAACTATCCATCTATTTTTTTTTTTTTTTTAATCCTCTTTCACTTCTTCAGGAAACGTCCAAAAAGTCCCCCCTCCCCTTCTTAGTCCCTTTTGGCTCAGTCTTTAAGGAAGTCATTTTCCCTTGAGTTTCATTTTATTTCAGTGTTTTTACCCTTCCACTCCCTCCTCCCCTTGGCTAAAACCCAAAAATAAGTGGGTGTGTGGTGTGCGGTGTGTTTGTGTGTGTGCGCGCGCGTAGGGGTGCAACCTAGGCCGAGATGAGAGTGGGTGGGTTCTAATCTCGGTGTCACTTACCGCCCTTGTCTCTAGCTGAGGACTCTTGAAGTGTCTGAAGCTCATGCGGTCCTCCAGTAGGCTCATACTCCTGAGCTGATCGCTAGACAGCTGTTCCACTCACACCCGCCCCTATCTTGACAGCGTACCAGGCTACGTTCTCTGGCTTTCTCTTTCGCGGGCGGCCCCGCACCTTTCCTTTATCTTCCGGCTGGAAAATGGGGAAGAAGGAGAAAAGAGAGAGTCTCTTCAGACTCAGCTGGCCCACCCTCAGAACAGGAAAACAAAGCTTTCTAGCATCCAATCCAAAAATTAGGGCCCGCAGAGACGACTTCCTAAAAGGAAACCTCCCCCTGAAGTCTTTCCTCAGCTAAAAATGAACTGGGTTCGCCTGGCTGAAGAGGCCAAAGCTGAAGCGCCTCCGTTCCCCTTTTACCTTCACCAATTCAGTTCCGGCCAAGCCCACTTTCCACCCAGCCTCTTAACTCCGCACACCCTTGAAAAGAAGGACGGAGGCGGGGGGCTAAGAAAAGCGCCCAGAACCTGAAAGCACTACTGAGCACAAAGTTGAGGCAGAGAAGAAATCATTCAAGACAGAACCCAGGACGAGATATCAGGAGGATCCCTTCAAAGCCGCGGTTGCAGCCCCACACCCCAGCGCCTTCCTAAAAGGAAAGAAGGGAGGAGAAAATGCCTACGATTGGTCGATACACTTAGGAGAACGCCACCCAGGACAGGAGCTTCAAGGAAAAACAGCCGCAACTCTGGCGTCCTCTAGGGCGGGGTTTCTTGGAGGCTCCTAGCTGTCCCACTGGGTACCTCCAGACCCACATAAGTCACAATGTGAGGTGCTCCCTAGGCAACCTCAGTGAATGAGGTGATTTCGTCTTTCTCTGCCCTGGCTCGGCCAGAATAGAGGTGTAACTACAGTAAGGACTCCACCTAGGGTGGAGTTCCTTAAAAGGCACCTGGGGCCGCTGAAGGAGAAAGCAAACTCGGAAGAGGTGGAGAAGGGTGGGGCTAAGAAGGGGGAGGGAGAAGAAAGGGAGCGGGGCGGGGCCATGGGCAGAGAGAGCTGGCCTCGCCCCTGGCGGCAGTCTCTCTCTGTCTCCAGCAGCAGCAGCAGGCACAATTGCAATCAATTTCGGTTTTTTATCCGTCCGAGAAAAAGGCTTGGTCACCTATCTAGGCGTGTTATGCTAACTCTCTAGGGGAGGATGAAAGTGGTGTGAGGATTGGGGCTGGGGGGTATACAGGAAGAAAGGGATGAGAAAAGGAGAAAGGATAAAGCTGGCAACTAGAAGCAATATTTCCCCTCCTAGCTTTCCATAATAACGTGTGACACCAGCAAAGACATCAAGGACTCGGTGTGTTCTCAGGAAGGAGGATAAAAGGAAAAGAGATTGGAGCTGGGTACTTTTTCTAGCAAGAGATAAGGGAAGGAGGTGAAGGTGAAGAAGTGGGTGGATAAGGAGGAATTCAAGATGAATTGCAAATACTGTATTATGTGACACAGCGGGGAGATTTAAAAAAGGCTTTCTTAGTCTCCCAGATATCATAGCTCTAAGAATAGAGTTTTCAACCCCTTGAGATGGCCTCTCAGCCAGATATTGGCTAAGATCCCCTTAGAGCCGAACCCACTGGGAGTAAGCCTTCTACCAAGGATTTCTTGCACATTTCTAGTTCATTTTAATGGAAGGTCTGAAAGTCACTCTCAACCAAGGCTCCTTTTCAGTGCTTCTTCCTTAGCACAACTCTTTTAAAGGGGAGGAGATAGAGGAGAGAGGAGAAAGAAAACAGAAGAAGGAAAGGAGCAGGGAGATAGAAATAATAGAAGCTGGCACCTAACATGGGCAAGTCAGTGGACAAGGTGTTGTTTCCATTCATCATTTTTCTGTTTATTCCTAGTAACAGCTCTGGAAATTATGTATTATTATACTCTGTGTGCCTTTTTTGAATAAAAAAAAATTGAGCATCAGTATTTCCAATAGGTGTGTCCAGTTGACTAATTATTATTTCTGCCTGAATGCCTTCTAAGTATTTTATTTTTTCCACAAATACACATTTTTCTTCCTCCTCCCATAGTTCATCAACCACCTAAATGGAACCACCATGAACCCCAACAGTCAAGGGAGCAGTCTGGGACTCATCCTTTAATCTGCTATGATCTGGCCCCTATCTACCCCTCCAGTCACAAAGCTTTTGCTGCTCTCCTATGTTTTACCTCAACAAATCCCTAAGCAAACCCCAGAGAATCCTAGGCTGTTTCTATGCCTGAATAACTACTTTCTCCATACGAAATGGTTTAAATACTTTGTTCACCTTGAAAGGGTTAATTCAAAGTCCTATCCCCACCTCCTTACTTAATTCCTTCAGGCAAAACTGACCACTGCTTTCCCTGTTCTTTCTCCGCCTCGGGGCACATGGTTGTTGATACAATCATCTTCCCTTATTAGACTACAAGGTCCCTGAGGCTAGGTATTAAGTGTTATAATTTTTGTAATTTGGATGCCAGATATTACTACTGTTAAGAACAGTAATAGTTTAAGACATTAACTATATGCCAAGCTCTTTTCTCAATCTCATATACACGATTGACTCTTTCTGAAAATTTTGGAAAGGTATTATTGGGCAGGTATTATTGCTATAATCATTTTACAAGTGAGGAAACCAAGGAACAGAGATAAAATAGCATCCTTATGCATCTGTTGCAAGAAAGAACATTCCTCTAGCAGGAGTTCTACAAATAACATCCTATTTCCCAATACCATATCTCTCTCCAATCACTGCCTCATCCACTTTCACTTTATCCCTTGGAACTTCAGTTTCTTAATGTATAAAATTTGGGAAATACTACTCAATATGCAATTTTCAGTAATCCAACCGAGGTTATTTTCAGAAATCCTGGAAATTTTTAGATTCAAGTGTGTGAAAGGTATTGGAGTGTTATATGAAAAATAAACGGGTGTTTGTGGTGTTCAGATGAGGATGTTTACATAACTGGTAAAATTTAAAGCAGACCCTACAATTCCCTCTCTAGGCTGGGTGGGTTGTGTGTCAATCTGGAAAGTTTTCTCAAGAAAATCTATCCATTTGCAGGTAGCGAAACATTTTATATTATTTTAAAAGTTTTTCTGGTTAAGTAATTTATTTTAACCTCTATTTTTTTGTCAGACTCAACCTTTTTGTGTAGAAAACATGATCTCAGATAGCAAATTCAGGTTTTAAAACATAAACTATTGAACTTCAGCTAAAACAAATTTGAAATTCTTTCCCATCCAATCTTCCATCCATCTCGTCAATATCAAGACCCATGGAAGATGTTAGGGTGCAAATGTAAACATCCTTTCGCTCCAAGAGGTTCCAGTGTAGAAGCCCTTGGTTTCATAATACTCAGCCTCCAGTAATGGACTACCACAATTTCTCTGAGTCTTTTAGAAATGTCCTCTGTCTCACTCAAATTAGAACTCAAAATGACTCAAGGAGTGGCACACCTCATGACCACAGTGAGTGGCAAAGACAGGAATTTTTCTTCATTTTTTTTTTATTTTAAGAAATAAAAGAAGGAAAACATATTAACAAACAGACATCCATTTACAAAATAGCATAAGAACAATACAAACAAAACAGAGTGACAGGCAAAGTTGTAGCAAATTAACAGTGGTTGTTGTTTTACTTATTGATCGTAGGTTAAATTGTGTATGTTGGGTGAAAGTTTGTGAAGGAGCAGATACTGAGAACTGGAAGTTGTGACCAGTTGTGATCAGCTCCTAGGAAGCACCACAAGCTCTTCTCGTTTTAGTTGCTGTAAGAAATAAAAGCCAAAGAGCAGACAGCAATACCTTCCACCCCTTCCTTTCCACTCTAAGCCCAAGAAAGATTGACTGCTTGAAGCAGCAGCCTATACTTTCCTTTATATACCTCAAAAATCAGATGAAGAAGATGAGGCAAATTATGTGTTGAACCCAATGATAGATAGTTGAAAAATATGCAGACACTGTCAGTGTCAAGGCTCATGAAGTGTAGCTCTTTTCTTCTTCCTCTTTGCCCTTATGTGTCTTCTTTTCCTCCTGAAAGCCTGCTCACAAACTGCCAGCATGGAGCCCAATCCTGAGTGCTAGAGGGAAGGGAAGACTTCACCCTCCCAGCTCCCATTAAAATATAACAAATATTATTTTTAAAAAGAAGGCGTGAATTCATGTACACAAACAGCAAACTCACTGAGCCAGAAATTAGGGAAACAACTCTCCTCACAATAGCATCCAGAAAAATGAAATATTTAGGAATCAATCTAACAAAAGTAAAATATCTATATATTAAAAATGACAGCACTATAAAAAAAAGATAGAAGAGGATATCAGAAAATGGAAAGATATCCCTTGCACGTGGATAGAAAGACCCAACATTGTGAAAATGACTATACTCTCAAAATTGTTTCACAGATGAAATGCAATCCTGATCAAAATACCATTAGCATACCTCATAGATCTAGAGAAAATATTTCTAAAATTCATTTAGAAACAGAAGAGACCTAGAAGAGAAAGGCAATCCGGGGCAACAAAGGCAAGGCAGGAGGCATCACAACCCCTCACTTCAAATTATACTACAGAGCTATTGCGATAAAATTAGCATGGTACTGACAAAAAACTCCAGACCTGAGGACCAAAGGCACAGATAACAAGATGCAGACGCAACCATAAACACACTCAGCCACTTTATCTTTGACAAAGGGGCCAAACATGTTCACTGGAAGAAAGATAGCCTTTTAACAAATGGTGTTGGAAAAATTGGCTTTCCACATGCCAAAGACTAAAACTAGACCAATGCCTATCACCACACACTAAACTAAAGTCAAAATTAATCAAGGATCTAAATATTACAGCCAAAACACTAAATCTGCTGGGAGAGTAAGCAGGTTTCATGAACAAAAACCTAACTGCTTGGGAAATACTTCAAAGAATCAACAACTGGGATCTCATCTTATTAAAAAGTTTCTGCACATCAAAAAAAAATCACCAACAAAGTAAAAAGAAAACCCACAAAGTGGGCAAAATTTTAGCCAACAGTACCACAGACAAAATACTTCTATCTAGAACATATAAAGAATTGGAAAACACCAGGCCCCCCAAATTCAAAGAAGCAACCCATAATTGAGCATCTGAGAGAAATACACATTTCTCAGATGAAGAAATACAAATGGGAAATAAATATATGAAAAAAAGTCAACATCATTGGTCACCTGAGAAATGCAAATTAAAACAACACTGAGATTCCATCTCACCCCAGAAAAAGCAGCCATCATCAAGAAATCAACTAATAACAAATGCTGGCAGGGCTATGGTGAAAAAGAAATCTTTTCCCACTGTTTTTTGGAGTGTAGATTAGTATAACCACTGTGGAAAATCAGTGTGGACATTCCTCAAAACATAGAACTAGAGGTCCCATTCTACCCAGCTATTCCCCTTTTGGGTATTTTCCAAGAAGAATTAAAAACATCATACCAGAGTGATATATGTGCACCCATGTTCATAGCAGCACGATTTATAATAGCTAAATCCTGGAAACAAACCAAGTGCCCATCAACCAAAAATGGATAAAAAAGATGTGGTATTTTTATACAGTAGGGTACTACTCAGCTATAAAGAAGGATAAACTTGAGGCTTTTACAGGTAAATGAATGAAACTGGAGACCCTACTCATAAGTGAAATAAATCAAACTTACATATATGGACAATGTCTTGTCTCCCTAGTGTAAGAAACTAAAAGAGTAAATAAGATGCAAAATCTTCAATCGATATTGAGAAAGGGATATTAATTGTTCAAAAGGGAAGAACAGAAATTGGGGAAAGGAGAAATGAAGAAAGAGAAAAAGATATATATACAGCTATATATATATAGCTAACATAATTTACTTATTATTTCTTTCAGTCCATTGAAAAGATTGGTTGGTGGTTGTATTGGTTGATCAATTTTACA